ATATGTACCAGTTATATTGTGTGTAAACCTGCTTGTAAGTCTCATAATTGCGTACTAACAACTCACAAGCCAAGTTGACAGTTCTCATCCTGAACAATTGCGGTCGTGTTGGAAACGTGTCTAAGGATACGGCATTCCCTTTGCCATTATCGATACGAGGGCTATGACGTATTCCTAGAAATATGGATACGACCGTATGTTGGAAACCTGAGTTGTTGATTACTTACGGCGGTGTTGGGAATCTTAATTGATTTTTGCATGTGCTACTTAAAGAGTAAAATAATCCTAGAATGCAATTAGAGTTTTTATATACAACTATAAATACAATCAGGAGCTAAAATCCAACTACACCTACAGCCTGGCAAATGTTTCTAGACGCAGCCCCTAGATGTCGCGGTAGTCGACCTTAAAAAAAGAAGGTAAATGAATAAAAAAAATGAATAAATAAAAATAAAGAAGGAACGACGGCAGAGGAGAGAAGGCACCAAGGATAGGGAATTACTTCATTAGTATTGATATCACACATCATATATTTATTTTTTATATTAGTTGCAATTATTAATTATTGCTTTGTTATTACCTACTATCATATGATTTTTGTCCTGTTGATTTTCAGTATTATGATTATCTTTTTTTTTATTAATATCATTATCACCATATGTAATATATTGATAACTATTACTATTAATAGCATAATGAAAATTAATATGACACTACTATCATATGGGTCGTCCTCTTTCTCTTATTATATATATATATATATATATATGTGTGTGTGTGTGTGTGTGTGTGTGTGTGTGTGTGTGTGTGTGTGTGTGTGTGTTAAAATTTGATAATCTATAAGAAAAAAAAATCCCATCCTTAGTTTCCTTTCGGGGATACTATATAATTTCATGCATCTTGCTCCGAGCGCGAAGTAGATTTCACATTTCTCAGGCCTAGGTGTTGGTGTGAGGGAGATGTAAGGGGAAAAAAGGTCAACATATCGCCCCAAACAGCTACACTGTTCTTCGAGTTCATCACTTTCATCATCATTTATTTTATTTTATTTATCACTTCATCAGCGCCATTACTCATCCTTGTGCTCTCTATCTACTCCTTTTTAACATATAACGGAGGATATGCTAATAGAAGTCGATTACACAATCAGAATACCTCAAAAATGGAAATACTTCACATAACCCCGAAATACCCTCCCTTGAAAGTGAGATTCATACAAAGTTGGTGTAAATCTTTCAAGATTTCTTGAAAACTCTAGAAACTTCTTGCTCATAATTGTCTCTTGACGGAAACTCCTTCCAGATATACTTTGTTTTCATAACCAAACCTAGAATTCTCAGACTAACTCCAGAGGAAGTTTGCTAGACTTTCATGACGTGACAACAGTAAACAAACTGCCAACGATAAAATTCATTTGATTTTGTAGCCGCTTATAGATTATGTTATAAACTAGTAAGTTGTCACCATATGTGTGCCGACCAGAAGTATTAACTGGAGTATAATGACAGCTTTATTATGCTCAAGAAGATAAATACTAGCCATTTATTATGGCATCCGTGGATGTTCAAAGTGCGTTTTTATTCTATTTGTTATTTCCACTCTAAACCTATTTTGAAACCCTTACTTTAGTAGATTTATTATCCTTACAGATTGCTGCTCTAAAGTGTGTAGACTTCTTTCGTTTTGTGTACATAAGTTTGTGCTTATAATTTTATTTTATTTTTATTATTATTTTTCGTCTATCTCCTTTGACTAATGTAAAAGGAATGTAGACCTTCTTTTCTGATATGTTTACCTGAAAAATCTAGATAATGCTCACCACGTGTTTAGTGGGTTGCAAGAGCACTTTCGGGGAAATTATAGTGATAAAATTCTGACGTTACATTTCTGCTAACGAATAATTAGATTTGACGCTGTGCACCTGCGGTGTGCACCTTCTCTCTCTCTCTCTCTCTCTCTCTCTCTCTCTCTCTTTTCCGAGTTCACAGTTGTCGACAAGTCCCGCTCCGGAAAGTATGGAGGGGCGCCTTCCTCCGCGGTGGCGGCTGATGGTCCGTTCGCTCATTTGGTAGGAGTCCTTTTTTCTTTCTCTTTGGGTTTATTTACTGTAATCGCTTTGAGGCTTTTGTTCACCGCTTTGGCTTAAGCCGATCTCCGTTCATCCTGCAGAAGCAGAAAGATTGTTTCTTTCACTCACTTTCATACACAAACGTGCACGCAAACACAAGTATTACAGTATTATATGTATATTATATTATGTATGTACGTGTATATAATATGTATATATATATATATATATATGTATGCTGTATGTTTGTTTTGTATATGTATATGTACGTATGCATATATATATATATATATATATATATATATATATATATATATATATATGTATGTATGTATGCATATGTATAGATATTTATGTGTGTGTACACACACACACACACACACACACACATAGATATGTATGTGTGCGTGTGTGTGTGTGCCTGTGGAACACAGGCACAAGCAAGACGTTTCGGAATACACACACGATTGGCAATATACAGTAGAGGAAAACCCCAGACAAACACTCGGGAGGAGGCGAGGTGAAACACTCCAAGAGATCCTTCAAGTATGGACGATGTAAGGGCTTCAGGCAGTTTTTTTCCCCTTACGAATTTAAAGATTTATAAACTAATCTAGCGGCCTTCCATCATGTCAGTGGATACAGCACGGATTAGGTTCTTTATTGTAACGTCCTTTGTGATCAGCTGCCATTTCGTCAGGAGCCAGTTTCGCCTGTGTAATATTTAGCACATCCTTTATGTAAGTAAATACGTAATCACTAGTAAATCTAGTCGAGTTCCTGGTTGATAACTTCGCATTCGCTTCTGATTTCTTTATTTCCAAGCAGCGATTAGAGAGACAAAAAAAAAAAAAAAAAAAAAAGGGATGGATCTGCACAGTAGCTGCCTAAAATGTAATTGATGATGTAAGATGCCTAGGTCTACCGCAGATGTAGGTATTAAGATTCAGTATTATTTATTTCCCCTACCTCATCCCACTAGATAAACCCCGAGGAATTTTGGTTAGATACTGTTCATGTCGGCATGAATTTTAAAAGGATTGTGTTGAACTTTGAGCAGTACTTATCAGCCTATTTGTTATGACTTACATTTCGTTCCCTGAATCGGAGTTTTTGCTTAGTTACTGACTGTCATTCACAATCTCCAGCACGATAAAAAAAAAAAAAAAAAAAAAAAAAAAAAAAAAAAAAAGCAGGATGAATCCTTTATGAAAAAATGGAAAAAATGCCTTAAAAATCTGCTTAGATCACACGACTGAACTGAAGGTTGTTGGAAATTCTTTTAAGCGGTTCCTAAAACCACTACCATTGCTTCTTGTATCTATGAAATTCCCCAAAGATCATGCACCCTGTCTTTATCCCTCTGCTAATGGCAATATTTGTAAATATTCTATTATGACAAAGAGCAATGTTTCCCTCCTTACGTTAGTTTCATTTTTTGTGGATTTGAAACATTGAAACACGTTCAGCTCATGAATATCTTTCCCTGACTTCTCGATTTCCTTCGCTTCTTTTTTTTTTTTAGATTGGTATTCCTACCCGACTTCTCAATTCTATATCTGACTTAGATTATAGTTTATTCTACTTCCGCGCTTCCTCTTATCTTATCTCTTATCTTAAACGTACCTCCTCGGTGAAATACAGAATCCCGAGCACATACAAACATTTACATTTGGAGGAAACAAAGTCTATCCGAAGACGCTTGTCATCCTTTCCTTCTTATCCTCGCAGGGAAGAGTTGAATAAAAATTTTTAAAGATCGTGTCTCGCTCACTGACGGCAGACTGAGTCACCTAAAGTCAAATGAATAAATAAATAAGTCAACTTCAGCTGTTCATGATAAACGAAAAGGGTGTAAACAATCCTAGACACGTGAAAAGCCCGAAAAACTCATCAGTGTTATCCGCTTTACTGCGTTCTAAACTAACAAAGGGCAGAAAACTAAAATAAAATTTATCTCTTAAAAAAAACAATAGAGGTTCTCCGCAACATATATATACTCATTATTTTTATGTGCATATATTTCTTTTTTATTATTATTGGTATTATACCAACACATTCTGTAACTTCTTGCCATGTATTCTGCAATAAATACTAGCTTTATAATATGCATTCAGAAAAATGTTTCAGCATTGGATTTATTACTAAAAGATGCCGAGCTCTCCTTAGCCCTTCCTCTTAATGGTTTCCAGAGAGGAGATTATGTAAATAAATCATAAACTGAAATTTCAAGTTAGTAATGTTCGTACTTTTTTTTTTTTTTTTTTTTTTTTTTTTTTTTTTGGGGGGGGGGTATGTTAGCGTATGCGGAAAGATGCGATTCCTTTTTAGTTTATTATATGCAATATGCGGCGAGGAATGCATCGCCAATTACCTTATCAAGTGACACGGCAAATATTTCATCCATCTTAATTAAACTGTCCCACTTCGCACCGCAGTTGAGGAATGTTCAGATTTGAGAAGCGTTTACTAGCTCCAAAATAATTAACCTTTTCTACGCCTGGTTTACGTCGCAGTTAGAAACGCTATTTAGCAAACTCTAAATAGCGATATGAATCGTGTCGATAAAAGTCTTGTTCGATGAAGAAAAGTTTATGCTACTGGCTGAAATACACGAACAGAAAGCCTTTCGTTACATACAGATAAACGTATTAGTGGAAATGAATGGTTCTCAACGCAAAGGTTAGAGGATCCATTTGTTTATGAATTACGTTATGAATAGATGACATACTTTGCCTTCGGAAGTATAAGGAGTAACTATAATCAAACTGGAACGCGAAAGTAAGTTTGATGTTTATATTAGGTTACTATCATCGGCCTGTCATTATTGATCCGTAATCGCTATATTTAGCCGTTGCATAAATGTTATACAGTTCATGCATCCAACTTCCTGATAATTTGCATCATTTCTTCTCATGGCGAAGGAGGCTGA